TAACCCCACATGTGCATGCACCCACACATGCATAGTACACGCACTAGAGAGGCAGGTAGGGAGCCATGGAGAGAGAGGGAGGGGCAGAGGAAGCGTTCTTGGCCATCTGGGCTGAAGGAGGGAATCTGACCATCTAACTTCACATCAGTTAAAGTTTCAGCTGGTTGTGGGTCTTGGAGCCTCCCTGTACCCTGCATGCAGAGGTGTCTGGTCTGCCCTTCCTAATCCTAGCTCCCTGTTTCTTCATTCTGCTCAATCTGTTATCACTTCCGTATCTGCTTCCCCTTTTCCAAAACATTGTCAGCTTCACTCCTCTGCTGCCAAGTCCTAACTTTGGTTTTATTTTGTTCTCCTTGTAAGATTCCATAGTTTTTAGTTTACTGTCATTTGAACAGTGTACGAGGAGAGAGCGGACTTAGTTATACTTAGTCTGCCACATATAGTCAAATCGAGGTGGTCTTTATCTGTGTGGGTGGGGGAAACAGAATGGGGGGTGGACAATGAAGAGGTCGGAGGTCAATGCCGGGTTGTCTATCATTCTCCACCTGAGTTTTGGGGGCAGCACTTCTAGATGAATCTGGAGCACTGCAGTGTGCTAAACTGCCTGGGCAGTGAACCCTAGGGATCCTCCTGCCTGCTCCTCCCCGTGCTAGGATTTCAGGAGCATGCCCGGCTCCCATGTTTCTACAAGAGTTCCGCTCAAGATTGCAAAGCCAGCACTCTGCCAACTAACACCGCCCCCCCCATCCTCAGAGTTGATCTCTGACAGGTTTTAATTCTCCTTGGCTACTGAAGACCACGACTACTACAGCTACTTCCTTATTTATTTGCTCTCCCCACCCCCATTTGCACGTGTGTGGTGATGGGAATTGAACTCTGGGCCTTGTATATGTGAGCAAGTTCTCTGCCACTGAGTTCCATCGTGAGGAGGACAGTTACATGGACAAGTGCTTGGAGGAATCCCACAGGTCTGTGTAGCCTGGGGCCGCAGTGCAGACACAAGAGGCCCACCTCAGCCCTTTGAGGAGACTGGAAAGAGGGTCCTGGGAAGATGCTGAGAACAAAGAGCCTGAAATGGCTTGAAGCCGGAAAAGGAAGGGCGTGTGGAAGAGCAGTGTGCATGTGAAAGCCCAGACTCCAACTTGGGACCCCTGATATGAAAAATAGGTCCAAAGTGGGTGCAATGATGTCTACCTATACTTCTAGCATGGGAGAAGCAGAGGTAGGGGTATTTCTGCAAGCTCAAGGCCAGCCTGGTTTTTGTGTAGAGAGAGTTTGGGGATAGCCAGGACTGCAAAGTGAGATTTGTCTCTAAGTAAGTGGAGTAAGTAGAAAGAGACTTATGCTTACACAGAAGCCTTCGAAAGCAGATTCAGATGACAAATCCACAGTACATACACAATGAAAGAATCTTGTAGCAATGCGTGAATTAAAGCATAGTTGATGTCTCAGGGCTGGTTGGACCTAGACTTTCTTATCTTCTGCTTTCTAAAATGTGTGTCTGCCCTCAAGGTGACCCCATGATCCAAAACTGGCTGCCAGCATCACAAGTCAGAGCAAGACATACAAGGACAGGGAGACGCCTCTTGTCAAGACTCCTTTCCCGGAATGCCTAATAAATCCATCTCCTTGATCACAAGGAAGTTACACGGTCACATTTAGCAGCAAGATCTTCTAAGTAATCCACATGATTGATTAGTTGACTGATGATTGATTGATGATTGGTTTTGATACTGGGGATGAAACCCAGGGCTTCATGTAAGGCAGGCAAGGACCCTGCTAAAGCCACTCCCGAGCTCTCGGAAATCATTATTTATTCTTGGTCACAGGGTACCCAATAAGGAAAGAGGGAGCAGAGGAGAGATACAGGGGTGGCAACTAGCCACCTCTGTGTTGACGAGACACAAAGGTCAGGCCTTGCACTGGAACATTGAGGGCAAAAGTGTTTCTAGGCTCTCAAGAGAATGCCTCTTCTAGCTTTGCTGAGGCTCTCCCAGAGAAGAAAACAAGCCTAAGGGCAGAACTACCCTGGTTTTGATAGTTGTGTTTATTTATTCAGAAGCCTTGGGCCAGAAATCAAATAAGAAAAAAGAAAAAAAAAAGGGAAGACCAGCTGAGCATGCTCAGGTGTGCTGTGGGGGGAGGGGCACAGTAACCACACAGGGCAGTGAACAATGGGGGGGCTTATCTTGGTTTCTGGTCTACAGGGTGTGGTTGTTTGGATGAGAAGTGCCCCCCACGGGCTCAGGTAACTGAACACTTGGCTCCAGTTGCTTTTTGAAAGGTTTGGGTGGCACTACTTGGCTGAGAGTAATCTTCCTTAGGGACAGGCTTCAAGATTACGTTACCCTGTTAACAGTTTGCTTTCTCGATCCATGTTTGTGTTTGAAGGTATGAGCTCGCAGCTTGCTGCTCCGGCCACTGTGGCTGCTGCTTGCTGTGCTGCTAACCCTTCCCCACCATGAAGCACTCATCAACAGGAACCATGAACCCAAACAAAGGTGTCTGAAAGGAGGGAACCTCGGTGGAGAACACGCCTCCATAGATGCAGCTGTGGGCAAGCCTGTAGGACATTTTCTTAATTAGTGATTGATGAGGGAGGGTCCAGCCTATCCCTGGGCTGGCGGTCCTGGTGTCCATGAGGAAGCAGACTGAACAATCCCTGGAGAACAAGCCATCGAGCAGCACCCCTCCATGGCCTCTGCATCAGCTCCCTGCCTCCAGGTTCCTGTCCTGCTTGAGTCCCTGTCTAACTTCCTTTGATGAAGAACTCTGCTATAGAAGCCAAGTAAACCCTTTCCTCTCCAAGTTGCTTTGGTCATGGTGTTTCGTTCTAGGAATAGTCATGCCTCAAAGCTCCTGTAGCTGTGACTTCAGCACCCTTGAACTGAGAGCCAAACCCTTCCTCCCATAAATTGCTTCACTGGGGTGTTTTCTCACAACTAATATACCAACCTACCCCATTCCTAGCTCAGGACTAGACCTCTGACCACAAGCTTGGGTGTAGCAAGGCCAACTTGCCGCAGCATGCATGCCGTTTTCAGAGGCAGAGGTCACGAACCAAGCCTGTGGTTGCAGCACACTTAGGCTGCTTTGACAAAAGGACTGGAAACCGAGTGGCTTATGGTGTCGGTTACTCTTCTCCTCGCTGTGAGGAAATACACGACAGAAACAGCCTGAAGAAGGGAGGATCTATTTCGGTCTACGGTTTAAGGGGCTACGGTTCACCATGGTGAGGCCAGCATGGCTGCAGGAACATTTCAGGGCTGCGGCCGCAAGAACGTGAGGCAGCTTGTTCATGTGGCTCAAGCCATCGGGCAACAGTGAGGGAGACCAATGCTGGCATTCAGCTGGCTGCCTCCTTTTTCCCTTTTTATTCTGTCTGGGAATCCAGCCCATGGGACAGCACAGACTACATTTAAGGCACTCCCCCTCCAATTAATCCTCTCTGAAAATATCCTTACAGATACACCCAGAGGTATATGCCTCACGAGTACCTTAGGCATTTCTTAATCCAGTTAAATTGACAATTAAAATTAACCATCACGCTTACAGACCATGGAGGTTTATTGCTCATGGTTCCAGAAGCTGGGGAGTCCAACAGTGGCAGCTCACATATTTGCATCATTGACAATGCCTTCTCCCTGTACCTTCACGGGATGAAGGGAGATACGAGAGCCCCAAGGATGCTCTCCTACGACACTCATCCGTCTCTGCCTTCATAGCCTCTGCACCTCTAAGAGGCTTTTGTTTGGTAGGTGTTGCTGTCTCCGTGCTGGGTTTTAAGGCCTGAATGTACTTCCATCATGGCATCAGTTGTGCTAAGGTCTGGGGGCCCTATTACACTGTCTCAAAACAAAAAACAAAACAAAACAAAAACAAAAAACGGACAAGCAAACCAAAAGATCACAGCTTGCTCATCACTGGCTGAACATTGACTCTCATAAACACTGCAAGCAAAGTTCTTCTTAGACCCTGCCTAAGCATCCTGGCCGTGTGTGGGATCCTCATTTGGTAATTTTGTCTTCTACTCTGCGATGCCAGCCTTCAGCGCCGGCACCTGGCACCTGGGACTGTCATCCCGTGTAGTTTTACGAGAAAAGGAAGTGCAAGAGATCAGAACTTCCTTCTTGATAGGGAAGACTTGGGCCTGGCCAGAGTAATGTTCGCTTTCAGGAGTTTTGGGGCAGAATGAGTGACACAAAGACCAAATACAGGGAGAAATACGGGGTGCAAAGAAGATCCTGCGTGCCTGCCACCTCTACGGACGGTCGCTCCCACTGGCTTACTGTGAACCCTGGCTTCCTGCCCTAACCCACACAGTTGGGCTGACGTCACCTCCAGTAGCTCCCCCTTTTGCTGCTGCAGGCACTTGGTTTCCGCAGCACAGACATCACTGCTGTGCTAGTTACAGGCCCACGGTTTAGAAGGCCGACCATTACGGTGTAAGTGTGAACTGCACCCGGTATTTTCATGTGTTCGAATTGGCCCTCGGGCGCCGGCGGAGTTTCGGAAGGCTGTGGAATCTTTAGGAAGCAGAGCCGATAACGAAGGAAATGGGTCCCTAGAGGTGGACCCTGAGTTGGGATGGGCCTCGAGTCAGCATGGATCTTGGGTCCAGCCTCACTTCCTGCCTAGCTGTGTTTCCTGATTGTAGACACAGTGTGACCAGCCACCTCCCGGTGCTGCTGAGATGACTTCCCTGCAGTGACAGACTAGGCTCTCTTAAACTAGAAGTCGGAAGCCGGGCGTTGGTGGAGCACGCCTTTAATCTCAGCACAGAGGCAGAGGGATCTCTGTGAGTTTCAGGACAGCCTGGTCTGCAGAGAGAGTGCCAGGATAGACTCCAAAAGCTACACAGAGAAACCCTGTCTCGAAACACCAAAAAACAAACAAAAAAACTGTAAGTCGGAAAAAAGCCTCCCTCCCTTGAATCGGGTTCTGGTCAGGCATTTGGACATAGCTACAAGACAAGTGAGGAGTACAGCAACTCTCGTGGGTCACTGACTGAGGAGACAGGTTTATTAGGTTTGCTCGAATGATACAGGATAGGCAGTCCAGCGGTTGTCTGCGTTCTGAAGCATTCCAGACAAAGATGGTTGTCTCTGCAATCCCAGTCTTGTTCGGAGCCCTGGAGGATTCCTGCAGAGCTGCTGATCTTCAGTCTGTCTTGGAACCGGAAGAAACTAGGTTGTAATGCTAACAATAGGACAGACACAAGTGCAGTTGTGTTGCTTTTGAGCTCGGAGGCATGTGTGAGCACACACACACACACACACACACACACACACAGTAAATAAATACAAATGGAATAAAAATTTTAAATGTATGCTACCCATCACAAGAGCTGTCTCACTGCAGCCTGTGGTGGCACCATGCTCGCTGCAACCTGCGGCTTTGACCACCGGCTTCTGCCATGTGTGTGGTGGCATAACAAGAAAGAAATGTACAGCCCGTGGTCTGGCAAGATGGTTCAGCAGATAAAGATGCTTCCAGGCCCCAAGTAGCAGGAGAGAGAGTCAGCTTTCAGGGGCTGTAGTCCCACCTCCGTGTGCACACTATGCTGCCTATGCACACGAATGAATGAATGATACGATGCAGAAAATGCACAGCTCTCTGCTGCTGCTAACAAGTTCAGCAAGCATGCTGCAGCCGGCCTCGCTCCTCACTGTGTGTCTTCCAGGGAGCAACTGCAGCACTGACCTGCTCGATGCACGCGCCTCTCCTCCAGAGCAGAAAGAAGGGCGGTGCCAGAGCTTCCCCGCCCTCTGTGCCTTAGTTGACCTTTGCTTTTAAGACCTGATTCTCATCTTCGCTTAGTGTTCGCAGGAGTGGGTTCCTTTAGTCTTCTCCACCGACAGGAATAATCCCCCTGGAATTTTAGTTTTTAAAGCCTGGCTCCTCGGGCTGTTGGAAACGGGGCCCTTAGGACCTACCTTTGCGGACCAGCCTCCTCCTCACACTGGGGGCCTGTGCCAGAACCGAAGAACACACACCTTGATGTATCCTGGGGCGTGGCAAGCCCAGGCAGGGCTGGGAAGGGAGCTCTCGGCTCAGACCTGGCATTCGTCCATGTCTGCACAAGCGTACACCGAGGCCGGCCTTGGAGGAAGGAGGGGCTGAGACAGGCTGTAGGCAGGCGAGAGGAGTGGGCATGGGAGAGATGAGGCTGCTGTGCAGAAAGGTAGGGACCAGGCCGCCCTGCAACAGGACCGCTGGCTCTGCTACTGACTGCGGGACACGAGCGCAGCCTAGAAGGGGCCACAGGGTAGATGATCAGCGGCACACTGCCTGGAGCCCTGTCGGTGACAGGCTTTTCGTTTTTTGTTGTTGTTTGCTGTTCCGTTTTGCTTTTGTTTCGTCTTAATGCTGGGAAAGGGGCCTCTTCTAGGGGGGAGGTGTCCTAAGGTGTAGCTGCCTGCGTATGAGCATCCTTAACACATAGAGAGTAAAGGAGCACCTCAACCATCGGCCCCTACAGACTGCCTCTGCAGCTGTCAACTTAGCTTGTCACACTTCCAAGTGGCCCCCAAGCAGAGTAGGGCAACAGGGGCAGAAAGGCCAGGCTGTTTCCGCTGGGGACAGCTCTTAAAGTCATGTGGATGGCTAGCTACCCTGGTGGCTCAGCTCAGCTTGTCTCCCCCCCCCACCCCCCACCCCCACCCTTCCGGCTTCCTTCTGTCCCCTTCTGCTCCCTTCCAGGGAACTCTTACCAGGGCTGGCCCCTGTTTGAGCAGTCTACCAAAGTCAGCTTCTCCGAGGTTTGCATATGAACACCCTTAACACATAAAAAGTAAAGTGTAATAGAGCAGGGCTTTATGAGATAATTATAAAATGACTTTCCAAACCTGATTGATGGTATGTGCTATACACGGCATCTTGGCTCATCTCTGTGTCTATCATGTAGAGACGTAAAAGGCCATCCTCATAATTACTTTTGTCTGCAGTTACAGAAGCCTCAGCCAAGGGATGGACAGGTGGGCACACCTTATACAGCGCCAGCATTTGACTCCAGGCAGGCTGCCTCTAGAATCTGCTGTCAGGACGCTGTGCTGAAAAGTCCCTCTTCATTGCAGGGTCCTTTCTTCCTGCTTTGTTTGTCTTGGGGATGTTTCTACCTGCTGGGATGCCAAGGGCAGGGATCAGTTTCCATTTTAAACACAGCCATGGCCGTGGTAGCAGAAACAAATAGAAGAAAAGTGAAAGAATAGCCTGCAGTCAGGTGTCGTGATACACGCCTGTAATCCTTGCGCTAGGGAGGCTGAGGCAGGAGGATTGCAAGTCCCAGAATAGGCTGGGCTACTTAGTGAGGCACTGTCTCATAAAGGAAGAGGAAAGAAAACGCGAGAAGAGAATATAACAGCATAAATTTCAACACCAATGAGAAATCTGGAGAAGGGAGAGTAAACTTTCATTTTGTTATGTTTTTTGAGACAGGGCCCCATGTAGCCCAGGATAGCCTCAAGCACACTGTGTAGCTGAGGCTAGCCTTGAACTCCTAATCATCCTCCTGTCTCTACTTGAAATAACTTCAAAATTTGAATGGTTAATGTCATCCTGAAAAAAAAAATAATTGTTACCTTTGGGTAATTTTTTTCCCCAAAGACAGAAATCTGTTTGGGCAAAAATCTCTAAGTGGACACATGAACCTGTCACAGATCCTGGGCCCTAATGACAGTACTCAAACCAGGTCTACTTGCCAGATCCGCAGTCTTCAGCGGGGCTTCCTGCAGTCATGCGTTCTGTACCTGTTCACCTGCCACACTCACAGGGTCCATTGCGCCTGGAAGCCTTGAAACACAGTGACGCAACTTCACAACCATGCATTCATATGTAGTTTATTTAGGAACAGGCTAGCAGGCCTGTGCTGCCTCAGCAGAGGGTGATTTGACATGGACAGGATTTGCTAGCCCAGCTGGTAGCACACACCTCTAACCCTAAGCATTTGGGTGGCTGTGGCAGGAAGCTCTGAAGTGAGTTCAAGGTCAGCCTAGGACATTCAGCGATTCCCTGTCTCAGAGTAAAAGATATGAAAAGGGCTGAAGATGTAGACCAGTGGTAGAGCACTTGCCCAGCATGGACAACGTGAGTACCAGAGAGGTACAACGAGGGCTGGAGGGCACCACACCTGCACAGGATCTGGTGGTGGAAAGAACATGCTGAGATCCTAGGCGAGCAGTGTGCACAAGTCCCGGGTTGGGTCCCCAGAACCCACATGGCAGTGCACAGCCACCTGTAGCCCAGTTCCAGGGGATCTGATGCCTTCTGCTGGCCTCTTCTGGCTCCCGCATGCACACGGTGCACCTAAGTACACTTCAGCACACACACACACACAAAATATAGTAAAGTACTTTTTAGATTTATTCCACTTTCAATCATGTGTAAATTTGTGTGTCTGTGTGAGCATATGGCAAGCGTGGGTGTCCAAGGAAGGCAAAGGTATCAGATCCCTTAAAGCTGGAATTTTGGGCAATTGTGAGTCACCTGGTTTGGGTCCTAGGGATAGAACTTGGATCCTCTGGAAGAGTAAAGCATGCTTTACCCACTGAGCCAGTGTTCCAGTCCGTAGTTTTTTCTTTGTAAGATTCATTTCTCAGGGGCCAGTAAGACGGCTTAGAGTGGAGGTTTTCAACCTTGCTCACGCTGTGACCCTTTAGTAAGCTTCCAACCATAAACTATTTTTGTTGCTAATTCAAAACTGTAATTTTCCTACTGTTATGACTCATAATGTAAATATCTTAGGTGACTCCTGTGAAAGGGTCATTCAAGTCCCCAAAGGAGTTGCCACTCACAGGTTGAGAACTGCTGCCTTAGAGGTTAAGAAGCTCACAGCCAACCCTGGAAAGCTGAATTCCAGCCATGATGGAAGGAGAGAACTGAGTCCTGAAAGTGGTCCTCTGACCTGTATGTAACACATAATGCACAAAATGTTCTTATTTTCTGGGCTGGAGAGATGGCTCCGTGGTTAACATTGCACAGGGCTCTTGCAGAGGATCCCAGTTCAGTTCCCAGCACCCATGTCTGGTTAGATCACATACGTTTGTAACTCCAGCCCCAGGGGGTTCAACACTCCTGGGCTCTGTGGGCATCTACACTCTCGTTCACGTTCCCACACTCAGCTACATACATATAAACATGGCTCTTTAAAATTTATTAACGATTGATTTTCAGGTACATTTGCTGTTCCCCACAGAACAGAAATTGGACAGTCTGGGTGAATGTTCTGCAGTGCTCTGCTTTTGTTGCTAATGTAGATTAGGTGGCTGGGGAGAGGGCTCAGTGCTTGGTGCTTTAAAGGAGGACCTGAGCTCGGATCCCCAGTACCTACATGAATGTCATGTGCCTGTAACCCCAGTTCTGAGGGTGTGGTCAGAGACAGGAAGATCTCAGAGGCTCACTGGCTCCAGCTCCAGGTTCAGTGACAGACTCTGTCTCAAAAGGATAGAAAGCAATTGAGGAAAACACACAACATTAATGTTTGGCTTCCACATGAATACATATTGGCAAGTACACACACACATCACACAAACATACACATGCAAACATATTGCCAAGTACACACACACATCACACAAACATACACATGCACACATATTGGCAAGCACACACACATATCACACAAACACTAAATTAACTGATTAATTTGTCAATTAAAATAGAAGTAGTTTGGACCAAGATGGCAGGTTGAGAAAATGTTTTAAACTCTCTTCTAAACCCCTAGAGAATAATGCATAGACTTTCTGGATTTGGTGGCTCATGCCTGCAATCCTACCGCACAGGAAGCTGAGGGAGGAAAATCCAGAGTTCCAAAATAGCCTGGCCTACAGAATGAGCTCAAGGCTAGCATGGACAACTTAGTTAGACCTTGCCCTCAAATTAAAGAAGGTTGGACATATAGCTCAGTGGTAGAACACTTGTCTAGTACAGATGCCGCCCTAAATTCAAGTCCCAATACCGTTACAAGAAAAGGAGAAAAGAAGGGATGGAGAGAAGGAGGAAGGGAAGAGGGATAGAGGGAGGGATTGAAGGAGGGAGAGAGGGGAGGAGAGAGAGATAGAAGAAGATAGGGAGGGAGGGAGGGAATGAGGGAGGGAGGGAAGGAGGGAGGGGCCTCTGTTGTTAAAGTCAGCAGGAGAACTGTAGGTGAGGTAGCCCATACTTATCTCAGCACTTTGGTAGAGACAAGAGGATCAAGAGTTCAAGGTCATCTTGGGCTAAATAATAAGTTCCCTGCTACTCTGAGCTACACAAGGCCTATCTCCAAAAAACAAGCAACAACAATAATAAATTAATAAAGTCACCAAGACCCCCATACACTTTTCCTGCATCAAATATTGAAGTCAGCCATCGTGGTGTTTGTTCATTTAGATTTCTGATCTCCCATAGCACAGGTGGGTCTTGCAGCCCTGATCCTCCTGCCTCTGTCTCCCATGCGCCAGGGCTACAGGTACACACCACCACACTAAGCCAGCTGTTTTGAGACAGGCTCCCACATTCTCACCGCATGGCCTAGGCTGGCCCGGTACTCACTATGCAATGCAGGCTGGTCTTGAAAACACAGCAATCCTCCAGCCTCACCCTTACTCCCCCACCTCCAGTGCTGCGATCACAAGTATGGGTCACCATAACTGGCTGACAAGGGTCCTAAGAGGAATGACAAAATCTGTACTGTGTCAGGGCATCAAATGTGCCAGCTAGGACTAAGGAAGGGAAATCGGCAGTCACCAAACTCCGCGTGAGGCAACGGCTGAAAAAACGAGCTGACGGAGAACAAAATATAGCTTAAGAAGAGGAGAACAAAATACAGCTTAAGAAGAGGCGCAGTGCAAAGAAGCAGTCACCAGAGGAGGCGCGTAACGTGGGGAAGAGCAATGCTCACCGGGCAAACTTAGCGCCCGTGCAGCGCTAGGAGCTCTGCTTACATTCACCTTCAGAGAAATGATAGCTGGGGCGCATGTCTGCATGATGGGGCCTCTGTCTTTCAGTGCACCGCACTGAGGGCCGGTAAATGCCATCTACGGCAGGTATGAATTGGAATCGAGAGGAGCCAAGTAGCACAAGGCGTCCAACAGTCTTTGCCCCTCAGGACAGACGCCTTGCCCTGGGTGCCAGTCCCACAGGGGTAGGGTCCTCCCTGCTCATGCCAGGGCTCCCTCACTACTTTGTACTCTCTGGTAGACTCGTGATTAATTCCGTCATTTGCCCTTCTGGCCTTTCCCTTGGAGCACTTAAATTATCCCATGGAATCCTCCCCAAAGCTTCGGAATATGAGCACTGACTGGGAGGGAAATTGAAAGAAATGGACTCAGGTTCTGAGAGAGACTAGCTTGAGCAGGGAAGCTGGGTGGGGAGGGGGCGCTTTAAGCCATTTAGCTTTGGCACCTGTTTATATAACACTGCCCCAAGGCTTAGACTCCTCAGATTGGCTTGACTCTGGGGCTCACCAGCTCCTTCCTGGTCAGTGGTGGAATACGGGTGGCCTCTTTTACTTCAGAAGCCAGGGCCGTTGGTTAAGACCAATACATTCTCGTTTCTCTAGGAACCTGTCAATAGCCATCTCCCGCCGGATGAGAGAGGCTTAATTACTCTACAAAAAGGAAGTCCACTGCAGTAGGGCAGCTTCA